CCGAAAATACGTACCATTCTCAAATAAAAAAAAGCTACCGCATTCGATTTCATTTGGTATAAAAATTAATGAAAAGTCATAAAACTACCGAGCACCATCTCGTGGCTTCGATACTACATAAAAAAAATCGGAATTATTTCACTTCAATCGAGACGTTAATTGTAATAATTTTACTTGCGGCACATGTGGGTATATGTCATAAGTCTACTTTTGAATGATGATTTGGAAGAAAAAAAACCAAAACCGTAGTCGTGTTGCTAAATTTTCGAGAGTCTATGTTTTATTCAATTTAAAATAGATTTAATAGCTGCTGGAGGATTTACCGAAAGATGATTTCGTTTTCAATTCTCTCACTCATCGCTTCCTCTATCTCTCGCTATCTCGCTCTTTGTCTGACTCAATCACTCAGTCACTCACTTGCTCCCTTTCTTGCTATTCCGCTCTCTCATTCACTTCATTCATTCACTTACTATCTCACTCATTCGTTCACTGACTCGCCCGCTCAGTACGACAGACTTTATTATATTTAGCTTATACGAATCCATACCCAACCATTCCATCAAATGTTTGGTATCCTCGCCAAAAAAAAAAGATTCCTATTATTATGCTTATTTATTTTTGATTTGTCTCATTTTCTTCAATGAATTTTTTACGACTTCCACCGCACACATTCACATATGACATTTGGACGTGAGCGAAAACCGTTTGTTGTTATCATTATTATTACTTTTCCCCCTTAATGTTCATCCGGTCCCGTTACTTTTTTCATTATTTAATAACCGATTTTTTTTTTTGTGTGTTCTGTTCGGCGTTTCTGCACATATGCTATTCTGCTGTCGAATATAAAAAACAAAACAAAAAAAATCGCAGACAACAACAGAGAGAGAAAAAGAAGTAACGGGAAAATTGAAAAAATAAATTTTTCTCCAAGCAACAGCTTTCAATTAAGGATTATAAACATATTTATCCGTTTGTGCGCGGGTAACGTATTTTTTTCGGGTAGTCATGTGTGTGTGTGTATTTCATCACGTCAACAATCATCAGCAAAACACAGCAAGGCATTGAAAAGGAGCGCATATTTCTCGAAAGAAAAAAAATATCAATAAATTCCCGTTACGCTATGACCACGTACCGTGGCCGTGCACTTGTACGATTACCATAAGTGAATTCGTATTTTGTGTGTTTGGTCCATTTTGCCCATTTAAAATTGAATTACCGTGTCATGACAACCAACTATAACCAACGGATGAACCCCCTCATAACACACTGGCATTCAACAACAGCAGCAGCAGCAGCAGCTCACATATGCAATCAAATGTTTTCAAAATTCAATTTTTTTCTCTACATTTTCAATGGATTCACCGGGCATCCTTCTGCCGATGGACTTTCTATTTTATTTTTTTTGCGCAGCGGCTACACAAAGCATTGTCATAATCGTCTCACCCTAGTACCATTGTTTATTTTTCTGGTGCATTTTTCTGACGATGGTGTATCATCATTAAAAGTTATTTTAAAAGAATGGACGAGTGAAATGGGAAAAAAACAACAACTGCGAACGGGAAAAGGAACTGCTACTGTCGGATATCCAATTTCAGGCATCAAATTAGCAGAAAAAAATTGAGGCAAAATGAAACAGACACGGTGTGTAATCAATGGACGTTCCGAAAGAGAGAACCCAAAATAATTCGCTAGCCGAAAATCATTCAAGCGAAGGATTGTGGAACGGATTTTCTTTTTTCCCTAGTTTTTTTGTTGTTGCTGCATTGCTCGACCAAATATCGAGCCGAAAGATCAAACGCAAAGCATTCAGAAGCGTACATCAACTATCATTACACCTTTCATTAAATCACCGACAAACATGGTCGTACACTTATTCGCTTTGTTGTAGACTGGCACCAAAGTGGACATTTGTTTGCTTTTGTGTCAAAACAATTTACTAAGAGCGTATTGCATTTTTTTTCTGCTTCATGCATAGGAGAAAAAAGTGAAGAGAGACAGGCACAGAAATCACATTGCAAGTGTTCTTCTTTTGTATTTTCGCAAAACTGATGCAATTGGTGCCACATAAATCAACCTCTCTTTTCAAGCGTTTCAACAACCCAAATAAAATTCCGCCATCAATCTAACAATAGCAAAACGATAGAACATTCATCTAAATAAATAATAAAAAAAAGGGAACGTTGCATCGGTGCCACGCTCTCGTTTGACGTGGTGGGTACGACAATTCAACGGTGCCTCTTTCTATCGTCCACTATCCGACTGGCTGGGTCTGTCTTTTGAGTCTTGATGACTGCGTGAGTGAGTGGAACTAAATGGAAGCGAATGAAAGAGAAATAGAACGAGCGATGGAGAGAGATGAAGAGAGAGAGAGAGCAAGATAGAGATATAGAGAAAGAGGAGCGTTATTGTTCGCTTTGTTTGATTGTGTAATTGAATCGAAATTATTGCCTGTAGACTTGTCACAGTACACAAATCTTGATACGCGCATCGGTTTTTTTTCTACACTTTTCCACATGCACCAATGTTTACGACGTACACGTAAAAGTTAGCTGCGCCTCTTTGAAACCCTATCAAAGTCACATTTAATCAATTGCCAAATTCGAAAAATGGTCAAACCATAAAAAAGCAACAAAAAGTCTTTTTGAGTTATTATTTCTCTATTTTTACGGCCAACCGATGCTTACACACACATGGCTATTTTTGTGCGATGATGATTGAAGATGTGCTCGCGTGCAATGAAACGAAGATGAATAGGGAAAGAGAAAGAGAGGTATAAAGAGAAACAGACGATTCAATCGAATATTGCCAAATAATGTGAACTATAACCAAATTGATACAAATTAAGGGCCACAGGCGAACCTTTTAGCATTCTTGTTGTTTTTTTTTACGACAAACCATAAATAAAATTGCTGCTCTGTGTCCAGCGAACACATCTTTCAATGGGCTGAATTGAACAAAACGGACACTTTGTCATGGCAAATGCACAAAACGCAGCTCATAAATTAGCCTGTCGAATAGAAATGTTTATTTGGTTCGATGAACATATGTGACCTGTGTTTTGCGTTCACAACAACGTACCGACTATAAATTACACACCAGCTACATATCATGAAAACAAGTGCAATTTAAAAATAGTTCAGGAAACGAACATGAAGAAGAAAAAAAAATCTCGTTCGCTCTTTAATTGATTTGACATTTCGTTGAAATTTCCCTCTTCAAATTGAAATTTTAAATGCAACTCGGATCAAATCGAGCGCCAGGCGTTTATTTTTTTGTACGTCATGTGTATTAAATCAAGATTTTTCGCCAATCGTACTATGTATCAAATGCGAGAAAATCGAGTATTTTGTTTCTTCGTTGCAGCGTAACAGCTAAATTTAATCTATAGCAAAATAAACTTGTACATTTTCATTGTGTGTTTAAACTGAAAACAAAGAAAACATAGTGTTTTTTCTTGGCCTGAATAATCGTCTTTCTATCTCTGCGTTGGTGCCTTATTGTCGATTGCAATTGAACGTTGTTTATAAAACCGTTTTCATGCACTGCACTTTGTTCATTGAACACGCCGAAGAACACGTGAACACACTCTGGCCTTTCCATTCAGCCTCCCTTCGATCTATTTTAAATATTTATTCAAATGTCACGCTCACCGCATGCAATACATGGAAATTCGTTTACGATTTTCCATCTCAAAGTATCGCTCAAGATTTTCTACGTAAATGTCGACTTCTCTCAGCCAAACGTGAAATCGTGGTGAAGAAAAATCGTTTTTAAATTGGAATCAACTCTCTCAAAATCTAATTGAGTCTTCTATTTAACACTATTTCTCGTCGGGTGTCGATATAGGTTTAGGTTTGTCCGATTTTATTTGGAAAATCACCAATAGCAGCAAAGATAAAAACTAACAAAAAATCAAATTCGCAATAGTTGTGATTAAGAATATAACTTATTATTGCTAGTGCACTAGATTACACTTTGACTACGGCCCGGTTTGATTTTTATTCACTGAACATCTGATTTTATGCGCTGACATCGGTGATAAAGATGAATTAAAATGGATGCCACTGAGCCATGGCTGCACATTATGGTAATTATCTGAAACTCTCTGTTTTGAACACAATGATTCTATTTTGAACAATTCACAATCAAGGTAAAGCGAATGCCGCTACAATACTCATTGAAAATGGAGATGATATAAATGCTAGAAACAATAAGGGGAAAACACAACGTGATTTGGCCTTTTTAAATGGTAAAATTTTTGCTTGCATTCAATTATTGACATACTAATTTAATTGTTGATTTATGAATCAATCTGCAGATAAAACAGAAGTCGCCAACATTCTAAAAGAAGCAGAAGAACAACAGAAGAATAGGAACTAGCATAATTTGATCGTTACTGGACACTACCGTGTACCGTACTGACTATATGATTTTAATTTTCAACCAATTTCAATAATGAAATGAAAATAAATGATTGTTCTTAATGCACCAGATTACGCGTAGACTTTTGCTCTGTCGATAGAATAATTCTCTGTAAAGTGTGATAAAAAAAACGTTCGAATTGGGGGAAATCAAACCCATGATAAAAATAAAGAATATTCTCATTATTTAAAATCTTATGGAGAGAATAAAATTAACAGATAGACAGCTTTAATTGAGCTCAGTACAATGTCAGAGTTGATATAAGTCGGTGGTGAATTTCTGTTTCTTCAATCAGATTTGAATAAGTTTTGCTTCAACTAAGCTGTTTCAAATTTTAAACTTCAACCCACTGCTAACGAAGTAGTGCATTTGGTAACAGTATTTATTCAACTATTTTTACAACAAATGATTTTAAATAAAAGTGTTTTAAAGTTCTATCAAAGTAAAGGATGCAAAGCGATGTGTTCAGCCTCATTGTATTTCTCATTTCATTGAATTCAGAATAATCTCAAATAAAACCACGTCACATCCATATTTTTTGTTATCAGTTTCTTGGAACATTGTTGACTTCGGGTATTCACTCTGAATCAAGTACACAGTGCGAATATCAGAAGCGATAAAACATAGTGATACGACCGTTTGTAGGATGCAGCTTCCACAACGGAATAATTACACGAATTTGTTTTTTTTTTGTCATTAAATGATCTTTGCTCGAATAATTCGTTAATCAGAAACAGACACACATCAACGGCCTTTCCATTCTATAAAGTCGATTATTTTTTTTAAATTTTTGTACAGAATTTCACAACCAGTTATATTTCGACGGCTTAAAATGAAGAGCGGTTCACTTTTATTCGTGGTGACACTGTTTGTAGCAGGTTTCAATGGATTACTGGCAGGTATACCTAATTATGTACTTTCTTATTCAAAATTCATTTATTCTTTGAGATATTAACGAGCCTTGATTTTCCGTTTCTTGTCGTTATTGCATACAAAAGACAAGCAGGAGAATAGGTAAGTCAGAATCTTAAAAATGACATTCTGAACAGTGCGACCATTGACCATCACAATTTTCAAAATTGGTTTGTAGTTCGAGTGTACCAATATCAAGGTCTAAATTGGATGAGCTGCTTGGTGCAATCGAATACGGTAGGTCCTGGTTTTTGGTAGCAATATAAAAGCTTTCCGTTTTGCTCAAAAAGATATTTTATTCGGTTTAGGTTCTACATCAACGATCAGATCATTGATTCGGGAAGGAATAAATATGAGCTTGCGATTTGATAATGGGCAAACTCCGATTCATATGGCTGCAGAAAAGGGCAAATATCTTCATAAGAAAACTCACTTTTAGTAAGTGCTTCTTAATAAATATTATTTCCATAGGCTCTCATGCTATACTAAAAGTGTTAGTCGATAACGGTGTAGATCCAAATATTCTAGACGAAGAAGGCCTTACAGCACTTTACATTGCCGCGGAGAAAGGTCGGTAGATGAGTTGTAAGAGCACAGAATGATTTTCTAATCAGAATCCTTTGCAAACAGGTTTTGAAGACTTTGTCCAATACTTGATCGAAAAACATGCCGATGTTAACATTGCAGACAAAAACGGTCGTTCCCCACTTTACGTTGCACTAAAAGGAGGTAAGCAATTAAATCATTCAATAAATAATAATGAATAATAATAGATTTAATTTGGATTTTGAATAGGCCACAAGAAAATTGCCGCGATGCTCATCCAAAATGAATCAAATGTCAATTTTGAGCTGGGAAAATGGAAAGCAGTCATATTTCGTTGTGTTGTTGAAAATGGTAAATAAAAATGACAATTTTTGAAAAATTCAGTCATTTTTTCAGTAAAATATTCGTTGTTCCATTTCCGGATTTTATCAGAAGAATTTCTGGATTGTGAATGAATTTGTTACAAAATCTAATTTCGAACATTTATTTATAGTCAAAGAAGAAAATCGGAAAAATGCACTCATCACAAAATTGATTAGAAAAGATGTCTATACTGATACTAGCTCAAGGGATGCATTCAGAGAAGCTATCGAAAAAGGTACTCAATAAAATGTCGTAACATTTGACAAACACATGAAATGGATATAAATAAATTATCGCGTAAAATGTTTCCTTTGGCAACATAGGTGATGCTCTTTCGACAGAATTTATGATCAAAAATTGCAATAAAGAGTTACGTGCAACGTTGGGTCTGTCACTTTTTCTCGCTGCAAGCAGAGGTGATTTTGTTTGCTTGAAAATTAATTTTTAGAAATAAATTCGAGCTAAAATTTTAATATTCTGCGTTGAAAAGGGCACGCAGAAATCGTGAAAATTCTGATAAGGAATCGTGTAAATCCAACTGTTTCCGGACCAAATGGGACTCTGCCTCTGATTGTTGCTGTTAAAAATGGTAATCCAGAATCATTTTTTCCCATTATTTGAAGTTGCTATAAAATATACTTTGACTCGTTCATTGCTTAGGTCATCAAAATGTAGTTGCTGCTTTGGTTGAATGTAATGTGAACATCAACATGAAAGATCAGTCCGGGAGAACAGCTCTGCACGTTGCCATTGAAACTGGTAAGATAGTTGCTCACTGAGCAATGCTCAGGTTGAAGAGCAATAAGTTGAAAAAAGAAAATTAGTTAAAATTCGAATGATCGAACTATCCGCTTATAAATTGTAGGCTCGAAGAGAATGGTCGAGTGTTTGATTAATAATTCGGCGAATTTCAATATGAAGGATGGTCAAGGAAACTCTCCGCTAATGCTTGCCGTGAAGAAAGGTAAAATCCCCTAAACTTCATTTTACTAAGTGAATAAACAGCGAATATTCGGCGCTTTTTCTATAGGCAATGACGAAATAGCTCTAGTGTTAATCGAGAACAGAGCCGATTTTTACTTACTTCAAGAAAGTTGGGGATCAGCTCTTTTCGGCTGCATCACACGCAATGGTAAAGTCAACTTAGAATAAAATTACTGATATCCAAATATTGTTGTTGTTAAATTGATGAAAACAAAATACAATTAGCCAGTAGCAATGTAATCAACGCACTGCAGAACAAAAGTGTACAAATCGAGCAAAATTGGGCCGATCCACTTCGAATTGCTGTTGAAAATGGTGAATGACGATCATTATGTTTAATTCCATCCTTTATGTTCAAATTTCTTCAAATCTTCGGTTTATTTATAGGTGATACGAGAGGGGCTGATTTGTTAACGAAAATCTGTAGCGCAGTTGCTGTTGTTCCAACGGTGGAACCAATGTCAAAGGAGCGTATTACATCGGTGGAACCAATTTCGAAAGAGCGCATCCCATCGGCGGAATCTATCGCAAATGGGCGTCTACTTCTGATAGCCACTGAAAAAGGTTAATCATGGGTTTTTAAAGAAACTTAAATGTTGTTTAGATTAACGCACTAAATCGTTTGATTTTGATTCATTTCCATCCACAGTTCATGTGAACGATGCTATATCCCTCATCGAAAACGGTGCCGATGTTAATTCTAAAGGCGTTGATGATTGGACACCACTCCACAAGGCTGCTTATCATGGTTCGGATTTGTTTGGATACCATTATAATTGTCGAAAATCTTTTTTTTTCACAGATAGACAATCTTCAATTATTTCGATTCATATTCCAGGTCCTGCTAATGTAGTTAGACTTCTCATTGAACACGGCGCTGACATCAGTGCCAGATACAAATACGGATATATGGCTCTTCATAATGCAGCTTCGATGGTAATATGGATTCCACATAAAAACAATTCTTTGACTTTGTTCTTTTATGGTCTAGGGTCGGGCAGATGTCGTTAGAGTCCTTCTCACACATCACGCCGATATTAATGCTAAGGCCTATGATGGATTCACACCTCTTCATTTCGCTGCACGAAACGGTTTGCCAAAATCTTACTTTTAAACACAGACAGTCTTCTTACTTTGATTCATTCACAATCCAGGTAGAGTGGAAGTCGCCAGAATACTCATTGAGAATGAAGCCGATATTAACATTAAGAATGGATATGGACAAACACCACGTGAAGTTGCTGTTTTTAGAGGTAACATTTTAAAAGGTATTTCCCTTGGTAAAGTTTTCACACCATTTTGATTGTGGATTCACACGGCAACCTATAGGTCAAACTGGAGTCGCCAACATTCTGAAAGAAGCGGAAGAAAAAGAAGGTAAACTCCTAGATTTCGAAGTGCATTAGTATATTTATGTATATCCTTAGGTTCTTACCATAGTTAGACATTGTAATAGACATGAGTCTGAAGTAGAGATCTAGATGAGCTATTCAGCTTGATTTGATCGCTTTGTCAGCAGTTCGCTAATTCCGATATTATTCTACATTTACAGCTGTGTGTAATCCAGTTTGTCTCAACGGTGGAACATGTACTGGGCGCAATATTTGTTCATGTCCAATTGGTTTCAAGGGTCTTCAATGCCAAGATAAAATGTGTATGACGAATCCATCTTCACAGAACGCTGCAGCCAGTTGTACTACAGACCATTGTAGAGTTACTTGCAATGCAGGCTACAATTTTCAAGATAGTAGTCTGGCCATGGAGATGAGCTGCAAAAACGGCAATTGGGTACCAGATTCACAAAGTCAAAACTTCAGTCCTGATTGCAAACGTAAGTGTCACTTTTTCAATAGTTGTGAATAATTTCATCATACTTCTGTTTTATTCGATCAATGACACATAGCTGTGGATATATGGTGAGCATAGAAACTCCGCATGGTGAATTTGGGACATTTTGATTTTATGACTGTGTAACAGTTCACATGCTAACCTCGCAAATTCATGTGGTAAGGTGAATCTGGTACACATTTTTCGATGCTTTCCATGAAATATTTTCCATAAATTCATCTTACCACCCGAAATTTGAATGTTTAGCATGTTAGCTGTAACACAGTCATAAAATCAAAATGACCCAATCTCGACTTGCTGAGTTTCTATATACAGCATATATTCTTAGCCATTTGTCACTGACTGGTTTTCTTCAGTTACATTAATTTCATTCAGTTCATTCAAAATATTTCAACGTGAAGGTCTTGATGACATAGAGTTTAATTTGCAATAAATTGATCGCTTTGTCAGTAGTTCACTAATTCCGAAATTATTTTATGTTCACAGCTGTGTGTAATCCAACTTGTCTTAACGGTGGAACATGTACTGGGCCCAATATTTGCACATGTCTGACTGGTTTCAAAGGTCTTCAATGCCAAGATCAAATTTGTATGACGAATCCATCTGTGCATAACGCTGTAGCCAGTTGTACTACGGACCATTGCAGAGTTACTTGCAATGCAAACTACAATTTCAAAGATGGTAGTCTAGCCATGGAGATGAGCTGCAAAAACGGCATTTGGATATCAGACTCACAAAGTCAAAACTTTAGTCCTGTTTGTCAACGTAAGTGTCATTTTATCATTAGTTGAAAATAGTGTAATGACACTTCCGTTTTATATAGTTACAATAATTTCGTTCAGTTTGATCAAAACATTCCAACACTTGTGTTTTTGAAAGAATTGATTCGCAATTGTGCTATCGTATTTTACAGCAAAGTGTGATTATGTGCTAACGCGTGCGTATAATGGCAGAACTGGACAACATGTCGCTTCTACTCGGACATTGCCCGATGGATTTGGAGCTGAGGGCAGCTGGATTTTAAAATGTGACCAGTTTCCAAACACTGTACCGTTATATGAGTGCCACTTTCACAAACATAGCTTTCTGACACGAGACACGGCATGTGAAGGTCAGGTACCGTTGGGATTTGTCGGATTCATTTATACAACACAAGTTACTGGCGCAATTCCTCTATATCGCTGCTATTCCTTGTCATTTAATGACCATATGGTATCAGTGAACGCCAACTGTGAGCATCCAGCCTATCGAACAGAATCAGTACTTGGCTATGCCTTTTTACATTAATAATAATATATAAATAGATCGGGAAGAAGTGGAAGAAAAACAGCAAAAAATTGGAATAAGCAATTAGATTTAATTGCAACTCAAGACTACCGTTCTCATCACTTGACTTTACGATTTAAAGATTTTTGTTCGAAATTTTCATTAATAACATTTTCTATAGATACAAAATAAAATAAAAACGTAATAAACAATAGATTATGACTGTATTTGCATAGTATACATTTGTGTATATTCCAAATGCACCACAATGTAACTTGATGGGAGCTATTTTCCCATATATTGGCTATCTTTTCACGACAGTGAATGCGAAATATTTTTTTGAATATATTCAGAGATAATACAGCGTCCTAGCGTCACTCGAAATGATATCAGTTGTTTTGAGAGTTAAATCCACAGGAGCATCAATTCATCTTAACCTTGCTTCTAGTTTTTTGTCTGATAAATACATATTTATTTTATAAGCCCAACAACAATCACTCGTACGCTAAACGACTCAAATCTCAATGCAAAATAAAATGCCTTACATCCGTAAGGTGTACTTTTCTACACGATTCATTTCAGTTCTACACTTTCAATTTTCATAGCATTTTTTTTCAATACTGACTTTTCTATACATTCTAAAAAATTTCCGTATTTTCTGCATACAGCGTAGAGTGTACCACGCACATACCCTACGACATCAAAATAACGCAAGATTTCGTGTTTTTCGGAGTCCGAAAATAGAAAAAACAAATGGGGTCAACATATCAGAGGCGATCTCAATACACTTTTCTTGCACGATATGGTCGTGTAGAAAAGTAAAATACAACTGAGAATGCGCTGAGTCATCTATTTGTGGTACTATCTAGTGGTACTATTTGTGGCAGGTTTTAATGGATTACTTGCAGGTATGGTTAATTATTTACTTTCTTATTCCAACTCAAAGAATAGATGCTTGGAGATAATAATTAAATTCATTCATTTTCGTTGTAGTGATTGCATACAAAAGACAAGCAGGAAGTCAAAATTGTAAAAATGACATTCAGAACAGTACGATCATTGAACTTGACAATTTTCAAAATTGATTTTCGGTTCAAGTGTAACAATATCAAGGTCGAAATTGGATGAGCTCCTTGGCGCAATCGAATACGGTAGGTCATGTTCTTCAATAATAATAATATAGAGCTTTTCCATTTTGCTCAAAGAAATAATTCATTCTGTTAAGGCTCGACATCAACGATCAGATCATTGATTCGGGAAGGAATAAATATGAGCTTACGATTCGATAATGGGCAAACACCAATTGCAAACACCATTTCAATTCTTGGATAGCAACGATTTATTTATTTAGTTGCATAATATTCTCTTGTGTACTTCTAATGCACCAGATTATGTTTTGAATTTTGTATCTGGTCTGACTGGAGAATGAATTAAATGATTCTGTGCGATATACGATACGAAATTTCAAATTAGAAGAACCAAACCAATGAAGTGGTTCAAATAAAAAATATTCTCATAATCTGTAATCTTATGAAGAGAATGAAATAAATGATAGGCAGTTTGAGTTGAGCTCACTAGGAACTCATACTTCATTTTAGCATTTGAATGATTTTTGTTTCTTTGAAGTTGGTATCAATCGGTGGACAATTTTTGTTTCTTCATGCAGATTAAAGGTAAGTTGGATTTCTCCTTTTCAATCAGTGATTTATTTTGAGCTAATCTGTTTCTAATTTCTAAGTTAAAAATAACCCACTTCTTTTATCTATAAGTTAGGAAAACCAGACGAGGAAATATTTATTCAAGTACTTTTACAACAGAAAAAGCTATTCCAAGTTGCGTAATTCCCTTACACTTTCCTTTATTGTGGACACAAAAATAAAAACGCACATTACTTTTATTTTTGATTGTTGTGTATACTGTATATTCTTTTTTTTCAAATTTTCCATTCAATAAATCAATTTGAAGCCCTATTTTAAATGGTATCACCCGAAAAGAATCGTTATTTTGTTACTTTTGTGGAAAACAACAATGAAGACCGTTTCAATTGGCCGCAATACCACTAAAAATAGACTTAATATTTGGAAAATCTTCATTTTGTTCGTAACTGCTACACTTTTGAGATCATTCCACAAGAGAGAACGCTTTTCCGTTTTCATCTTTCCTGAAAATCGTACACGTCCGCAATGGAGTCAATCGTACAGAGTCCGCCATACGTCTGGTTGAACTATTTTGAACAAAAAACAATCAAAGGTTCAAAATAAACAGCGGATTTAATTAACTTGTCATTTGAAAAGTTCAAATTGCCATTTCAATGAACAGCATTTATTCGCTCTCAGTGGTAAACAACAATTTGCCTCCAACAAAGGAATCAATTGAATTCAACGGTCGCTATTTCTGATTAATTGCACATGTTTAAAACAAACACGCCATGTATACACAGTTTGACACCTCGACCGCAGCAAACGAAACAAAAAATCGAGTCGAATGGGTTCTCTGAAGGCATTGAATGTTTCAAACAAAAAAATGTGCATTGAAACTTTTGCAAGTGCAATGAACCGTACAGTGCAAAAATAAACCATTGGCATTGCAAATGGTTCGGTAAAATGTGTCAATTTCAAAAATCGACATACAGAAAAACAACGCGTAATGCACAGGCACACTGCAACACAGTGTACAATACATAAATTATGAATGGAAAAATATTGTGCAGCATTTTGGTTTCGTGCGATTCTGTCGTTTTCATTCCGATTCAATGGAAAATATGTTGTTGTGGCCGCGCGAGCAGCAGCGATTCATGCGTATTTCACATTCAAGTGTTTCCATTTGATTTCGCTGCTGACTTTGCCCCATTGCAACGTGATGTAAATAAAACGAATTAGTTAAATCGATTTAATTCACTGTCAAAATACCCACGACACACCAACACCAATCAACATCAACACCATTTTGCAAACTGACTTTTCGTGTTGTATACACGAACCGAGGAGATAAAAAAATACCATTTAATTGACTTCGTTGAAAATTGACAGCATAACTAATGACAGTTTGAAACGATACCACGCGATAAAAATAGACAGAAAAACCGCACAAAAAAGGACGAACGAGAAACTTTCGCGGTATTTGCTAAGGAAATTAATGCAACGTTCTTGGTTAGTCATCGGATACGTTTGTCTCGGGCGTTTTTCATGTCTGTCGCCTTGTCAACATCGTGGGCGCTTCTTTTTCTACTCGTCTTATTAAAATGTAAATTTCTTCGACAACAAATTGCATTACGTTCGCGTTAAATGATAATGAAAATAGCAAATTTTTCACACTCGACAAAAAACACGAACGCCTGGAAATATCAAAGCATTTTTTATTAATTCAAGTCGTTACTGCGGTTCAAATCATTAATTAAATCAACAAAAAAATAGCAAAAATGAGAGGTGGAATTGGGAAAACTTAATTTTGAAAAGAAAATTTAAAATCTTGAACTTTGCCAGAGAAAAAATTCAATCATTTTTGTCCTTCTATTTTGAACTGGAGTCTTCATTCCACGAAGAATATACGTAAAGAAAGAATCCAACTAAGAAACAACCATTCCATTGAGTTAAATCGAAACTTAAGAATTTAATCGAAAGGAAAAAGAATAAATAATTTCCAAATTTTTGCGCCCAACGAAGAAGATATGAGCCAACCAAATCAAATCAGAATGTTCAAGAGAACACAAAATGTGCTTTGGGTCTCATTAATGGATTAATTATGCATATCGGAAGCAGAAACGTTTTCTCGTACGAGAAATGCATATCAAACGAAAAGCGAATATCACAAATCACCTCCGTCTCCTCTCCTTATGAGAAAAACGAATCTAAAATGTGATTCAATTTTGTTATAATGAATGCAAATGTGTTTCCATTTGAAATTTTCACCCACAATTGTTGTTGCATCAACTGTAATAAGACTATATATTTTCGGTTCAAATATCCGTTTTCAGTTCTGTCTCTCGGAAAATGCCAATCCAAGGGAGGTTAGTTTCGTTTTTTCTTTCTTGACATCAAATGTCATTATTGTTTATTATAGAGCAATAACAGCCACACAGCACTTGTGCACTCGTGTTTTCAGAAGGCGACTGGTGTTTGCTTGTTCAAATGTTCACTTGTTTTTTTTCTCGTTGTCGTCGTTTACATATTTTCCATGGTTTGAATTTTTTTCTTTGTCAATTTTTTCTTCAAATCAAACACGTGTCACATACACAATTTGCATGTGAAACTTCTTTTCTGGGCTGTCATGTTCCTCTCTCTCTTTCTCTTTCCCTTTCTCTTTCTCTCTCTATCTCTCGATTTTGAGCAAGAACAACATTTGAACGCTGCTCGAGAAGAAAACACTGACGGTACGGCTCATGGTAAAGACACAATACAAATGACATGCCATTTTCAATGCACTTCAATACGAATGTAACTAAACCGAAAAAAACTGTATCTAATGTACTGTGCTATCCAGTGTCTTTTGTATCATATCCACTTGTAATGAGCAGTGGGGAGAACGAGGAAACAATTCATCGGAGTTTACTGCTTCATTCAAATTTGACTCTGCTCTGGCATTAAACTCTATTCGTTTAAAAAAAAAAAATCTGAATTTGCTGCCGTTCCAGCGGGATAGGGAAAAAGGTCACGTCAAGAAAAAAAAATTCAAATCGTTGTGGAGATGTGTTCCGTCTACCTCACTTTTGTTTATTCACCATTAAGCTCATCACACATGCACACGTTGTTCAATATTCAGATTTAATGGTGTTGCATAAATATTAATGACCTCCCTGCACATAAGCACTATGCATTGTGCACAGTGCTCTCTATCTCCCTCCTTCACTTTTTCTTTGCCTCTGTTTCCCTCTCTTTCAATCTCGTTCACTCTCTTTCTGTCCTCCCTCTCTCTCTCTCTCTCTCTCTCTCTATCTTTTTCTCTCATCATTCTCGCCACTAGAATCACCAGTAACCACATTATGAACCGAATGAAACCGCTATGAATTCTTTGCATATCCCTATGCCGAAGAAGTGCCACTGCAAGTGCAATGTACTCAAGCATGCTGAAAAAGGTCCTTCTCTTTCACTCACACTCTTTCCAAGTTCACAGTGATTAACCTGTCAAGTGGCTGGACAAGATTTATATTTATTTTTCTTTCTTTCTCTCTCTCTCTCTCTCTCTCTCTCTATGCAGTACAAACCAATGAAGTGTACTGAGCAAACAGTAGCACCGAGAAAAAAAAACACAAATGTATTATTCATCGATTTGG